AGATTTTATTTATTTATTTGACACAGAGAGAGAGATCACAAGTAGGCAGAGAGGCAGGCAGAGATAGAGGGGAAAGCCAGCTCCCTGCTGAGCAGAGAGCCCGATGCGGGGCTCGATCCTAGGACCCCAGGATCATGACCTGAGCTAAAGGCAGAGGCTTAACCCACTGAGCCACCCAGGTGCTCCTGCAAAGTTTCTTATAGAGAAAAATTTAAAAGAATCTAAATCCCCAATAATAGGTAACTGCTTCAATCGTGATTCGTAATTCTCTATTATAGAATATTGGGCATATAACAAAAATTATGATGATTGGGGCACCTGGGTGGCTCAATGGGTTAAAGCCTCTGTCTTCAGCTCAGGTCATGATCCCAGGGTCCTGGGATCGAGCCCCACATCGGGCTCTCTACTCAGCGGGGAGCCTGCTTCCTCCTCTCTCTCTGCCTGCCTCTCTGCCTACTTGTGATCTCTGTCAAATAAATAAATAAATAAATAAATAAATAAATAAATAAATAACATCTTAAAAAAAGAAAAAGATTGATTTATTTTAGAGAGAAAGAGAGAAAGAGCATGAGCGGGAGGGGCAGAGGGAGAGGGAGAGAGAATCTGAAACACACTCCACACTGAGCACAGACCCTGAATCCACCTAATTTCATACCCCGAGATCACTACCAGAGCCCAAACAAAGACCAGGATGCTCAACTGACTTTGCCACCCAGGAGTTCCTGAATTGGGCATTTTAAATATATGAGTCGTATGTTTTAGAAATTCTATCTCCATAAAGCTGTTAGCAAAAACCAACAACAACAACAACAAAAAGACCAACTAGATCTCTATCCAGGAGGCTGGATACCTCCTTCCAGGAGGACATGGTCCATTATTCACTCCCATGCTCCCTCCCCCAATCATGCATTTCCAGCCCCTCTTTCTCTACTCACATCTACTTGGGTTTTGTCCTGTCCAAGAAAGGCCATGACACACTAGTGGGCTCCATGATGGGGCAATGCAAGGAAGTGGCTGGTGTCAGACTCACATCTGTGTCTGCTGGAGAGGTGATCTGAGCCCATTTTAGAGGCCAAGGTGATGGAAGCTGGCAACCCCAAGAGAAGGACTGTCAGTGCTGCTGCTGGCGGTGGGTCAAATGAGTAATCGTTGAGCATCTCGAGCAAGTCATGTCTACAAGTGCAGTGTTTCTTTTTATCCTCATGACAGTCTGATATGATAAGATACTACCATCCCCAATATAACTGAGGCTCAAAGAATGTAAAAAACTGGGCCAAGGTCACATAGCTAGGAGACACAGAGGCCAGATTGGATCCCGGGAATACCATAGTTAATTGATCTTAAAATCCTCCCCCCAAGTCCCTGTCCTAGCAGGATTCGGGGACCTTCACGCAAGAATATCAGGGACCTGTAAACATGAAAGGGGTTGTGTGGGCAAAAGGGCAGCTCTTCAGAGCCCAGAGTCCTCCCAACCCCACTCACATGCTATCCCAGGCCCAAAGTCCCCAGAATGAGTGTTTAGGGGTTTATTTCTCTCCCTGAACACTGATGATGAGTTTCAGGGGAGACCTATGGCAGCTGTAACTGGGCTGGAAATGTAAATGTGTAGCGCCAGCCCAGACAAGCACTCAGGGGCTGTCTGGAGGGAAGAAGCCACTACTGGGAAGTGAGAGGGAGGCCCCGGGAGCAAGCCAGCCCATGGAGCAGAGCAATCAAGCACCAAAACCCTCGCCTGAAGGCAGCAGCCTATGAGCTGGCAACCACCCTCACTCCCACCTCACCTCCTCCTGTGGCCGATGGTTTCCTCAGATGCCAAGGTGGTGGGTCTGGAAGAGCTTCAAGCTCCCTGTCTGTCAGTCCAGCTGGTCTGTCTGAGCGTTGAGGAACATCCCAAGCGTGCTACCGCTGTGATGCTCCCTTGGCTCTGAGGCCCTGGTCACAGACCCCGTCCCTCATCCCGTTCCTATACCACAGACCCTGTTAGGGGTTGAATTATGTCCCCCAAAAAGATATGTTGAAATCTTAGCCTCCCAGCACCTGTGAATGTGATCTTATTTGGAGATAGTCTCTTGGCAGGTTTAGTCAAGTTAAAATGAAGTCATTAGGGTGCAACCTGATCCAAGCACAACGGGTGTCCTCATTAGAAGAGGAAAAGCCCTGTGAAGACAGAGACAAAAAGCCGAGGAAGCTATTAGAGAGGCAGAGCTGCAAACCAAGGATCACCTGGAGGCAGCAGAAGGTGGTGAGTCAATTTCTGTTTAATAAATTTCTGTTGTTTTAAGCACCACATTTCTAGGGCCTCCGTAGAGCAGCCCTAAGAATCTGATACAGAACCCCAACACACTCACACACTCCCCCACACCAGGCATTTCTCTGTTCCTCCACGGACCCAAATCCTTCCCACCCTTTTAAACACATGATGTTCAGTCGAATGTTCCTCACCCTCCCTCCTCCCCACTACCCTTGCCTTGCTCCTTCCAAACTCAGCTTAAATGGCATTTCTTCAGGAAAGTCTAGACCTGGGTATTCCAGGCTCCCCTCAGAACATCAACAGAAGTGCGTTCTCTGAAACCTTCGCCGTATCTGTAGTTAATGCCTGGTGCGGTTGCCCAATGCCCACGGCGCGGCACGTGCCCTGCTGTGGGTGTCATGACAACTGGGCCTGGCCTGTCATATTCAGCAGCAATCCTATCCCCTCGGCCCTGAGGCAGTGCTGGGATTTTTTTTCTTTTCACAGCATACTCCAAGCATGAAACAAACAATACAATCTTGGGAAAAGAAACCCAAGAGAACATATTGAGCAAACAGGGAAAAATATGCTAAAAATCATCTACATTCCCACGGCATAGAGTAATCATTGTTGGCATTTTGACATACGTGCTTCCAGACCTTTTTTCATGCAAGATATATTTCTTAAAATGTGATTATACTGTCTTGTATGCTGCTTTTTTCCAGTGAGAAATGTGTGAAAAACATGTTTAAGAGTCAAGAGATACAGGGGTGCCTGGGTGCTCAGTTGGTTGGGTGTTCGACTCTGGTTTTGGTTTGGGTCATGATGTCAGAGTTGTGGGATTGAGCCTGGCATTGGGCTCTGCGCTGGGCAGGGAGTCTGCTGGAGATTCCCTCTCTCCCTCTCCCTCTGCCCCTCTTCCCCCTAAAATAAACAAATCTTTAAAAAAAAAAAAAAAGAGTCATTAATACAAAATTACCTCATCATTTTTGGTGGCTTTGCAACCTTCTACTATAAGATGCATCACAATTTAGTCAACAAGTCCTCATTGTTGGGCATTTGCATAACTTTCAGTTTTTCCTCTGGTGTAAACAATAATGAACATCTGAAAAATAGGCATTTTTTTGTGTCCTTGTCTGATTATTTCTTTTTTTTTAAGATTTTATTTATTTATTTGACAAAGAGAGAGAGCAGAACAGGACAGGGAGGAGCAGGCTCGATCCCAGGACCCTGAGATCATGACCTGAGCCGAAGGCAGAGGCTTAACCAACTGAGCTACCAAGGTGCCCCTTGTCTGAGTATTTCCTGATGAAGGGTTCCTGGAAGTGGATTGCTAGATCTGTGATGACACATGTGTTTTTTAAGGCTTCAAATACATAGTCCCAACCTGGCCTTTAAAGCGGAGGAACTTCTATTTTAGGGGCGTGGGGTGAAGGAAGGGATGGAGTGAAGAACAAGTCTGGGGGATGACCAGTCAGAGCCACAGAGCAGGCAACTGCAGTGTTCCCTGGGGGAGTAGGTCCTCCGTAGCCTAGAGGCCCTTGGCTACTTGGCACAGCTGGCTCTTGGGGCTGGGAGAACTCTGTTCAGGCCTTCTTTTGGGCACCTTTGATTTTCTTTGGTTTTGAAGCAGCTGAGCCCTTGCTCACCTCAGGGGTCCCCCTTGGGAGCCACTTGTGGGGAAGAGAAGATAGAGGGAATTCCCCCATTTAGAGGAAGTGATTTTTGCAAACAAGAGTTTTCTGGAGGCCTCCTCGTTCGTGGAAGGCCCGTTGTCATCTGTGAGTGCATGTGTTGTCCACCTGGTTTCTGGTTGTGATGCGGTGAAGGGTCCAGGCAAAGACTCGCTGGCCTGGCCAGAATGAACAGCTGCGGCTCTGTGGGGGCCACCCCAATCCCACTCTCTAGGCCAGCCCTGTCCTCTGGTTAAATCAGCTTCTCAGTTTGCCAGAGACCAGCCAGAGATACTCCCAGCCACCCCAGGAGAACGTGTAGATATGAAACTTGGACCTGGTACCTTCCACCCCCTCCCGTGCAGTCAAGGCACAGAGCAAGCCATTTACCACCCTGAGCCTCAGACAGATCCCCTGCAAAATGGGGAATAATATTCTAGCTATCTTCCAGAGTGGCTCAGTGGATTAAGAAAAATACCATGTGTAACACTTAGCATCCTATCTGGAACATGGTAAACCCTTTATGATGATGATTGATGGTGAGGTTCCATGTGACTGTTTTTTTGGCTAGAATCACAGGGTTCTCTCTGAGAAGTCAGAGGCGTGGCTACTTCCCGTGGAAGCCAAAGCCCCACTCCCCTGCAGGCTCTCAGCTGCTGTGAAACCTTTTACCAGAAAGGCTGCTGTTACAGGAAATAACTTTCATTCTCCCTTCCTCCTTCCTGATATCACAGTCTCCAGAAAAAGAGGATCTGCGTCCAGACCAGAATCAAAATCAGGCAGGTCAGTATGGTGTAGTGTGCGCGCTGCCTTCCTCTGAGAGCATGTGGAGCCCTGTCTGGGTGCTGGAGAGTCTGTTTGATCGTGGGGTCTTGAGGTGTTCAGGGTTATGGCTGCAGGGGACAGTGAGGGGGAGCAAAGGGCAATGGAACAAGGGCCTCCTCAAGCTTCCCTCTCCACATCAAGACTGGAGTATGGCTCATCAGGGCCCTTCCTCCCTTCCCGGAGAGCAGGAAATACCGTCCTCTCCTGAGCTGTGGTCTGGTGAGACGCCAGGGCTGGAGTGTTGTGGACAAAGTTTTGATTGTTTTTTAAACTCCCATTTTCAGGCTGTACCCAGAGAGTCTGCACTTGGTCGCTGGGGGTCATTGCCTTAGACCTCTCCCTGTCATCTTCCAGAAACAATCTGCAGTCTCCGAGGTAGAAGGTAGGTAGGACTAGGAGCAGTGGAGCATAGGCTCCAAGGCTGAGGCTCCCAGACACCCAGAGATGGGCAGCAGCCTTCCAACTGTCCTGCCTGCACTCCCAGACTGTGGTGTCACTTTTGCTGATTAACGCCTTCCCTGGGGTGGATTCGGTGGAGAGGGAAGCCAGGTTCCCAACAGTCCCTAGGTGGGTGGCACCTCACAGGACATTTTCAGGTCTGGGTCTGGGACAGTCACTGCTTTTTTTCTTCACTACATCTGTGGTCTTTCTGGGGTTGGGTAGGGTGTATATGTGTGGGCACACCCACTTCTTCCCCTGCTTCTTTTTCAACAAATCTCTCTGAGACAGGAGTGCTGGGATGCTCTAGGCCCAGCCTGTCCTCTAGAGGCATCTCCGACAACAGCCTCTGACCCTGGCTGGGCACCAAGAGGAGAAAGCTGTCCTGCCATGGTAGGAGAGTGGGAGGATAACGGCCATGGGTTTCTTGGTACCCACAGATGTCCCATTCTAGCCTGCACCCATCCATCCCACGGCCTAGGGGGACCAGAGCCCGGAAGGCAGCCTTCATCCTGTTGGCTGTCTGCCTGACAGCCCTTTGGGTTCTGGGAGAGCCACCAGAACACATTCTCCGATGGCTGGTGTTCCACCTGGCCTCCCTGCAGCTGGGACTGCTCTTCAAGGGGGTCTGTCATCTGACTGAGGAGCTGTGCCACCTCCACTCCAGGTGACTCCATTACCCATGGCGATTTCCCAACCCCCTGCCCCCACATCTTGCTCTCTTGACGCCCAGCCCTGCCCCTCCTTGAATCTCCCTGGCTGAGCAGAGCAGCAGTCCAGAGCTTGCCTGTCCCCTGCAGGTACCAGGGCAGCTATTGGAGGGCTACTCGGGCTTGCCTGGGCTGCCCCATTCGCTGTGGGGCTCTGCTGCTGCTGTCCTGCTATTTCTATGGCTCCCTCCCAAACACAGCTGGCTTGACTTTCACCTGGATGCTTGCCCTCCTGGGCCTCTCAGAGGCACTGAACATCCTCCTAGAACTCCAGGTGAGACACAGAGGGAGGTGGAGGGTGTAGCCACGTGGAGGGAGCAGCTAGTAGCTCCTACTCTGAGCTCAGCAGTGGGGATGGGACTAGTTTAGAGGTCGGTCCTTTGAGTAGAGTGTGTAATGTTCCACAACAGTGGCAGAGAAGGGAGCAGGTTGGCAGCTGGTTGGGAAAACTTTTTGAGGAGGGAATCTGGTTATCCTTCATGGAGGCTCCCCAGCCCCACCCTGCTGTCTACAGGGCCTAGCTCCGGCTGAGGTCTCTGCAGTCTGTGAGAAAAGGAACTTCAACGTGGCCCATGGGCTGGCATGGTCATATTACATTGGGTACCTGCGGCTGATCTTGCCAGGTGAGCCATTCTCGACGCTTCTATTTCCAGATCTTTAAGACAGACAGTAAGACATAAAACCTGCCGTATTTTTCAAAGAATTTTTGTTCCTAAGGAATCATCTGATTCCCAAAAAAATTCTGTAGGCATGAAGGATGTTATTATGCCTGGTTTACAGGGAGGAATATGGCGCTTAGAGCCATTAAGTGATTTCTCTCAGGTTAAGCATGAGTTCTTCCAATGAATATTTACTGCATGATCTGGGTGTGCATTTTCACTTTTAATTCATACCCTGTGGACAAGGGATAATTATCATCCCTGTTGTAGAGATAAGACAATCGTGGCTCTACAAGGTGAAGTCACTTCTCCCAAGTCACACGACTTAGTGAGCAGAGAAAGGATTTGAACCCAGGCCTGCCCAGAGCCTGGATCCTTCACACTCTACTACGAGCCCATGTGTCATGTCTCATTTCTTCTGACTTGCTTGCCAAGAGCATGGCTCTCCCATAACTCATTGCTCTCTGCCCTTGTCACCAGGGCCTCTGCTAGGAAACAGGTCTGGAGCGAGAGGCCAGACCCCGTACACCTGGGAGTTCTGGGAATGTCACCTTCCAGGGCTCTTCCTGCCTCTCAGAGCCCTAAAAGCTGTAGTGGGAAGGAGCGGGGTGAGGAGAGACATCTGGACAAAGGACAACTGAAGGAGGGGAGGAGAAGGGGTGGGGGGAGGGTTCCTGAAGGCTCTGCCCCTCCTGGCTCAGGCACAATGCAAGTGGACTGGACCTGTGGTTCTCATGCACTCACACATTGAGGGAACCAATGAATTGGGTCTCTGCCCTGGGTGACAGGGCTGTAGGAATGACTTCTTGGGCCTCTCCACCCCAGGGCTCCCAGCCCGGATACGCATGTACAATCTACAGCACGCCAACATGCTCCGGGGCTTGGGGAGCCATCGACTACACATCCTCTTCCCTCTGGACTGTGGGGTTCCTGACGACTTGAGTGTGGCCGACCCCAACATTCGCTTCCTATATGAGCTGCCGCACCAAAGTGCTGACCGTGCTGGCATCAAGGGCCGGGTTTACACCAACAGTGTCTATGAGCTTCTGGAAAATGGGCAACCGGTGAGTGTTCAGGGAGAAGGGTGCTGCTAAGGAGAAATCCAGCCCAGAGCACCAGAATTCTGACCCTGGGCCAAACACTGATACAAATCCATTGCCCTCCTCTGAGCCTTCATTTCCCGAGTTGGTCCCAGGGCTGGGCAGGATTTGGCTCTGAAGGACGATAGCAACCAGTAACAGTAATCAGAGCCCTTAGCGCATACCAGATGCCAGTCATCTGACCGCCTCATCTAAGCCTCGCTACCACCTGTGGGGTGAGGACTGTTATGAGCCCTACTTCACAGATGAGGAAGCCAAGACTCAAAGAACCAGCAAGAAACAGGACGATTTCAACCTGACAAACCACGTACTTGACCATAGAGTTGCCCTAAACGAAGGTGTGAGAATGAATGTAAGATCTCACATAGGTTGGAGGAAGCCCAGACCAGGGTTCAGCCCCAGAGTCCAGCCCCCACATTTGATTTCCCACTGGAGCAGTGGACAGCAGAGTGACTCAGTGGGCCTTGCCCCAGGATCCGAGAAGGAGGATCTGTGGAGGGTAAATTTAGCACAGTCGTGGTCCTGATTTTAGGAGCAAAGGCCACCAGACTCTATGGATCCCATCAGGGCTGCCTCCTCCCAGAACTCCATCTCTACAGGCTGAGGGAGTGGGTCCCCAGCAGTGGCACCAGGGTCCAGAGTCTGTCTGTCTGGGCCCTGTTTGAGTCTTGCCCCCATCTCACCTCTTCTAGGCAGGCATCTGTGTCCTGGAGTATGCCACCCCCTTGCAGACCCTTTTCGCCATGTCACAGGATGGCCGAGCTGGCTTCAGCCGGGAGGACCGGCTTGAGCAGGCCAAACTCTTCTGCCGGATACTTGAAGACATCCTGGCAGATGCCCCTGAATCGCAGAAAAACTGCCGCCTTATCGTCTACCAGGGTGAGGGCTTGATAGGCTACCGGGTGGGAAGAGAAGAGGTGTCCTGAGGGGTTAGAAGTAGCTAGAGTGGCACCATGCCCTGGGTCTTCCCAAGCGGTCAAGGCATCCAAGCCCGGCTCCTTCCTGCCCAGGGAAAGGTCCTACCTCTCCACTTAGGGCACTCAGTTGCTTTCTGAGTATCTGGCTACGGGTCCTGGGTGGAGTGTGAAGAGATGGGCTCCAGGAGCCCCTGACTTCATCTAGGAATGCTAGAAGAAGCAGAAAAGTCCCAGCCCCAGGACACAGAGACCAGGGCTGCTGGTCTCTGCTGTCTCTGAGCCCCATTTCTAGGATTGGGAAGGTGGAATTCTGTTATCTCTAAAACCACTTCTAGCCCCAGAATTCCAGGGAACACTAGCCCCAGGGCCAGGGGTGGGGAAGGACACAGAGAGGTGAGGGAGAGGAAGGGTTGGAGGATCTGCCCCCCGAAAGCCTCAGGGCATGTTCAAGTGAGAACATGAGAGGTCCTCACCACACTCCTCACCCACCTTCCCCATCCTTGTTCCAGAACCTGCAGAGGGAAGCAGCTTCTCCCTGTCACAGGAGATTCTCCAGCACTTACGGCAGGAGGAAAGGGAGGTCACTATGGGTGGCCTGGACACCTCGATTGCACCCAATTCCTCCACTCTGTCCCAGGAGCCCAAGCTCCTCATCAGTGGCTTGGAACAGCCTCTACCACTCCGCACGGATTTATTCTGATGCTCAGGGTTTGCTGGCCTGAAACCCCAGTGCTCCCCAAGACTCTGGATCCCCAAGACTGTGGATTGAAGGGCTTTCTCAGCAACTGAATGCCCAGCAGAACCACTTCCTCCCACAGGGAGCCTCTCAGAGAAGTTCCCTGAACTTAACATTTCAAGACGAATCCTACGACTTTGGGCAAGTTGTTTTACCTCTCTGAACCTCCGTGTCCTCATCTGTGAAATGGGATTATAATCACTGTCCTACCTATCTTGCAGAGTTGTTGTGAGGATTATGACTGTATGGAACATTTTTGTAAACTCTAAATGCCAGATAAATTTAAGGGATGTGTCAGGTGTCTTTCATTGGACCTCCAGACTGACTCTAGCCCTCTCTCCCTCCTCTGTCCTGGGATGGCATCGACAGGCTCCCTTGCTCTCTGAATTCTGGTCATGTTCAGTCCATGGGAAGCCCCAGTAGGAGAACAGAGGGAAAGGGAGGGGGGCGAGGTTGGGGTATTTATTCTCCCAGATTCCTCCCTGTAGCACCAAGGTCACTGTGGGCTCTCTGCATCTCTGACCTAAAGCCATGCTTCTGCCATGCTCTCGGTAACCCTGTCTCTCCCCAAGTTCCATTATCTGCCCCTTCCCCGTGCTGCTCAGACCTAGCAATGGTCCTGGCTTCCTCCTAATGTCCCTTCTGGAGCACTCACTCTTCACTTATAGTCTCCTTATACCTGCCCTTTCTGAACAGCCCCCTTTCTTTAAAAAAATTTTTTTTTCTTTAGAGAGTACATACATGGGTGTACATGGGAGAGGGTAGGTGGGGAGGGGCAGAAGGAGACAGTGAGAGAGACTCTCAAGGAGCTCCACGCCCAGCACAGAACCTGATGTGGGGCTCAATCTCACAACACTAGGATCATGACCTGAGCTGAAATCAAGAGTCAGACGATCAACCAACTGAGCCACCCAGACACCCGTAAATAGCCCCCTTTTCAGCACTCCTCAGATGACCTATTTGAGTGTGCCATCTTTCTCTGGCTGGACTCTGACTCACACAAGCAATCTGAAATGTCCAAATCCACTTGCACAGACGTACTTCCACTTCCTGAGACCCCCCTAGACCCCTCCTTATTCTTTGCCCATGGACAGGGCAGTGTGGTGGTGAGCATGCGTTCACTGCGGACGGAGTCCAGGAGTCAGGCTGGGGGCAGAGAGTGTAGTATGCCCCATGGGCCTTTGTCTCTAGTGAGAGGCTGGGGAATACGGAGCGGCACACAGCCACATCTGGGGCAAGGGGCTACTCGAAGGACCAGGGGCCACTGGATGAACGTGCCCGGATGATAGAGCCTACAAACGGATAAGGGGGAAGGGGAGAAGAGGGTTTGTGTGAGGAGATAGGATATACTCTGGGAGACCTTGGACAACACACCCAGGCATCTGCTGTGTCTTATGCCATGCCATCACTGTTAGAACCGAGCCATTACGATGCTGTAATGGCAAACCTCCTCTATCAGGGGGGGCAGGCAGCCCATTTCTACCAGTTCCTTCTGTTTTACCCACTTGTTCCCTACCTCCCACTCTGGTTTGATTTTGTTTCATTTTGTTTTAAATTTTTTTAAGTAACCTCCATACCCAACATGTGTCTCGACTCGCAACCCCGAGATCAAGAGTTGGACGCTCTATCGACTGAGCTAGCTAGGCGCCCCTCACCTCTGTTTTTTTATCACAAATGCTCAGCACAAATTTCTGCGTACAGCATCACTGTGGAGATGGGCCCAACAGAGAGACACACATTTGTCAGAAGGAACCAACTGCTCCCAAGGATTCCAGAGCCTAAGGAGGAAAGGAGGACACAATCTCTTCTTCCCAGCTGTCCCAGCCATCCTGCCCCCCAAGGCCCGAGGCTCCTCCAACCTTATACCAATCATTCCTGTGCCTAGAAACCAGGGGAGAATCAAGGGCCTTTCCAAAATGATCTGCCCCCACCCATCTAGCCCCCAACTTGGTGCTCAGGCTGGAGAGTCTGACAGTTCAGGTTCAAATCCTGACTTCACCACTTGGCATCTGTGTCCACCTGGGGATCTGGATATCCTCCACTGTAAGACTGGGAGAACAGGGGCTCTTTCTCCCAAAGTTGTTATGAGGAGTGAATGCTAGGATATCCACAGGTCCACGGGTGAGTCGGGTGCCCAGTGTACAGCTGGACCACAAAGGAGGCAGGCCAGTCCTCAGTGCACATTACAATCTCCACCTCTGTTCCTCTGCATTGTCTGCCATCCTCACCTTCCTGACGGCCAGGGTCTCACCAAGGCCAGTACCAGGGTGCATCTGCTGTCCTCAGGCATTCCCCAGTGTAAAGAACCCAGATGCCCCTCCATAAACTCCTATCTGCACGTTCTCAACTGCACAACACTGAGGTACAGTTGGGTCAGGGACAGGGTCCTTTTGGAGAGCCACCCGGAGGCTCAGCACTGCCTTCCCGCATCTTATCAACCTCCACGCCCACCATCCCCTGCAAATCCCTCTCCTCACTCCTTCTTTCCCTTAGACGAGCAGCATGGATCTCCTTTTCCTTTCTTGTGTTCCCACTAGCTGGAAGGTTCTGGATTTGGGACACGTCATGGGATAAATTTTAGGCTGGTTCCAACTGGCCCATACACACAAAAAGGGGCAGGTAAAGAGAGCCCCCGAACTCCCTCCCTCTCATCCTGGGAAGGCAAGAAAAAGTCTTGCCCCAACATAGTAGGAGGCATTCAAAAGCCATGTAGGGAGAATAATTGGTGCTTGGGGCTTTACAAGGGCCTTGGAAGTTGTTGAAGAGGGTTAGGCCCCAGGAGCCAAAGGGCTATCTTCTGATCAGTGAAGGGCAACAGATTTTCCTTCTTTTCCTGAGTACCAGAGAAGGCAGACCCCTAGGTTCTTTGCCTCGGCTCTCCCTGACTAGCTCTCACAGAACCTGGGGGCACTGGGGGCAGGACCTCTACAGCGAGACTCTGAGATTCCCCGCACAGGGGTGGGGTAGGTGGGGGAATCTTGCAAGCTGGACTCATGCAGACACCAAAAGCAAAGGAGATTAGGGATGAGAGGAGGAGGTACAAACTTGGTAAAGGAGGGTCAAGGATCTGATGGTCCTGAAAAGCAGGAGGTAGCTTTGTGAGGGCAGCTTTGGGCCCTGGTAATGCTCACAGGAGCATGTTTCCAGGCAAAGCCCTCAAGCTTCTTTTATTTCTCCTGTCCGCATCAGCACTTTCTCTATAAATATTCTGCCGAGAGAGCAGCTCCAGCTGAGTCCATGTGTGCATTTCCAAAGCTCTGATGTCCAGACCCCAAGTTGCTTTTGCCCTAATTCTCTGTCCAGTTTCTTGTTGTGAGCCAGGTCAGTCCAACTTTTCAAAGTGTCCCTCCTACAGACATGTGACTTCATCAACGCTGAGCCTAGGCCCATCTGGCACGGGGCAGGAGCCAGGGACAGGAGGTTCCTGCCAGGTGTCTCCATGAGCATCCTGGGGGCCCAGCACTCGCCAGTGGATGAGGTAGATGCCGCCTTCCGGCTTTGGGGCTGGTGGCTCTGCGGGGAGAGTGGCACGGCCCTGGTGTAGTCTTGGCCCAAAGTGGACAGCCACCACGATACAGACAGCCAGCAGGACAAAAGCAGCAACAATGATGGTGAGCAGGGGTAGCCCATCCCCTCTTGGTGGTTCCCAGGTCCCACCCGGCACCTCTGGGAGTTGCCTTTGGGGCTCCTGCCCTGAGCCGTTCACAGCTGCAGAAGGCCAGGGACGTTGGCCAGCCTGGTAGGGGAGTGGCAGAGAGAAAAAGGGTGATATGGGCCTGTGCACACGGAAAAAGAGCCAAATGGAGAGACAGACACCCAAAGGGAACTGAGAGACAGAGAGCATTAGGGAGAGAGAAACACAGACAAAGAAAGGGAGTGAAGAAATGGAGAGACAAAGAAAGGGAGGGAAGACATGGAGAGACAAAGAAACATACAGATAAACACATGCATAGCAATAAACTCCACAACTCCCCCCACAAAAAAACCCGCATGTAGGAAGAGAGAGAATCAAAGAAAAATACAGGTGCGTGGTGGGGGGGATACAGAGAGAAAGAGGAAAACACAAAGCCAAGAAGACAAAGAAAGAGAGATAAAGAACCAGGAATGAAATAGATGTAGAGAGACAGAGAAAGAGAATAGGGAGACAAAGTAATTCAGAAAGGGATGGAGAGGGCTTCCTTACAGTCTGGCATACAGAGTGTGGCCCCCCACATCCGTCCCCTCCCACTGATCTGTCTATCCAGGCCTCCAGTAAAATTCCAATAGATTATATGTCCTAGGTCAGGAATCTGAGCCACGAGGGGCTGCTGTTCCATGGCCCGGCCTGTGGGCAGTGAGCAGCCCTTCTTCAAGTCCTGGGAGAAGGGAGTCATTGTGTTGAGTGTCTTAGGTTCCCACCACCCTCAACTCACACAGAAGGCAGAGGGGTGGTACCTTGGGGGAGGGAGAAAGGAAAATGAGGCAGGAACCCCCAAGGCTGGGGGTAAAGCAAAGGGGATACCTCATCCCATAACATAGGATCTTCTTAGGGGTCTCAGGTCTGGACCTGGAAGGGAGGGGATGCCCAGTGTGGATTCCTGGCTGCATTGAGGAGAACCCATGCCAGCCTCTGCCTCTCTCAAGGTCCCAGCCAGAAGCTGGGGGTAATGTCTGTCTGTCTCGGCTCTGCCAACTGTTGAGTAGGGGTGGGATGGATTACCATGAAGGCAGCAAACCTCCAAACGATAAATGCCAGAGCCAGCTGATGAAGTTACCACAGGCTCAAGAAAACTTCTCTCCCTAGCCTCCCTCCCCATACCCCCTGGACCATCAGTGCCCCCCCTCCCAACATGGGGGTGGAGCCTCTCCCCTAAACCTGGAGCCATAAGCCTGACCCTCCCGCAAGAGACTGGCAATTGGGGTCCAGGGTAGACTATTGAGAACACTCTCTTTAGTTTCTCAGTCACACTGTCATCCCCAACACTGTCCCTTTGCATGTAGGAAGCCCAATACCAACCCCCAGTTAAAAGTCTGAGGCTCTCTGGGGTCCAGGCCACAGAGGTCCCTGCACAGGGGAGGGAGGGGGAAAGCAGCTCCGGATGTACAGGGGAAAAAGGGAAGTTCAGTCTGGGGAAAGGGCTGGGGTCCCTGCAGGGAGACAGGCAGCTTATCTGGAGGGGTTGAGCCCAAAGTCTACCTGGTGCATTGTCCGCCTGGTGCAAGGCTCCCCGGGGACTGGTGGCCAGCCCTGCGAAGAAGAGCCTGCTGCCCCAGCTTGTCCCCTACCCGGAGCTGCCACGTCTATGGGGCGCACACACCCTCTGCATACATACTCTCCCGCGCTTTCACTTCCGCGAATACTGGGACTCCCCAGGGCCCAGCCCTTCCTTAACTGTGATCTGACCTTGATCTTGGCACCTCCTTTCTTGCTCCCTGCTAGCTTTAGCAGCCTGGGTCTGCCTGCCCACCCCTCCTCCAGCAAGTCGCAGACACCTTGCCAGCGCCCCCACCCCATCCTGCTCTCCACCATGACATCCCACTCCCCACCTCGACTAATTTCCTGACAGTACTGTCTCTTCGATTTTTTTTTAAATGCAATATCTCAAACACACTGGAAGTAGACTATAATATACTAAATCCCTTGGTCCAACCACCAGCTCTGTCCATCTTAACAGTTTGTCATGTTTATTTCAAAACTTTTTAAGAACCAAAATATAACAAATAAAAAAGAAGCCCCACTTTTTGACCTCTCCCCTCCTTCTTACCCCATGGGTAACCATGTTGTTGAATTTGATGTTTATTATTGCTGTGCAAGGTATTTTTTTCTCATTGGACTTTTTCTTCTTTGGTTTTTACAAATATGAATCCTACACATCTCTTTGCATTTGTCTGAATGTAACTTCATTTTGAGAATGTGTGGGCTTCAATGTGTCCAAGTCATGAAAAGTGCCCACGGGGGCATCTGGCAGATTCTGTCCATATAGCAAGAGGCTCTTGATCTCGGGGTTGTAGCCCCACGTTGGGTGTAGAGATTACTTAAAAATAAAGCCTTTTTTAAAAAGTGCCCATCCGGAGATTCATAAAGGGTAATTTTTGGTCTCAACTAACTCCATGAAACCAGCCACCCTTCATTCTGTCCCTTGCTGTGCTTGTACCGCCCTCCATTCCCGTCTGAAGACCAGGAGACCCCTGGGAATTCCCTTCACCCAGTAGTTTGATCTCAGGAGGCAAGATGGTGCCTCCTGATGGTGCCTCCTGATTCCTTGTCCTTCAGCCAAGCTTCTCCACACTCTGACATTCAGAGACCTCATCTGCCAGCTCACTGAACCCGAGGTCACTGAGCCGCTGGCCTGACCCGGCAACTGAGTGAGACAAGTGGCTGGCTGACCTTGAAGCCAGCTAGGAGGCTAACTCCCTACTAGTGCCTCCAAGGCTCTGAATGTCCCATATGGGTTCATTTAGCCTTCAGCCAGAGGGAATATGGGCTCTGTCACAGGCCAGAGCTTCAGCCTCTGCTCTTTGGTTCCTGCCCCCTTAAGACACATGTCCCATTGCTCCCATAGGCACCACCACTGAGGCTCCAGTCCCTGAGTCAAAAAGCCCAATTCCTGATCCTGCTGAGGGCTCACCTCCCCTTTCCCTCCCTCATCAGTCTTGGATCTACTTCCTAAAAGGCCTGAGAAAGGATAAGGGGAAACTTTTGGGACTAGACCATTGTTTCAGCCTTCCTTAACTTGTCCATCTCTATGCTCAGTGTTGGGAGCTGCGCTTCCCCCATTCCCACCATCTAAACTTTAATCATCTTTTATGGCTTTGGTTCAAGCTCCACCTCTGCCAGGAATGTAGTCTTCAGCACACTCTACTGACGTAGCTTTCTTTATTTTCCTTCAACCCTACACTGGTATGTTTCTTCCCTTGCTCCTGACATTTGTCACACTTTGATATACAGGTGTGTGGGGGCCCATTTTTCCTCCTAGCCTCTGAGCCCCATCAGGGCTTCCTGTCTGTGTCCCAGAGTCCATCACAGTGCCTGGTACTAGACAGCAGGTACTGGACAAAGATTGCTGAATAGAATTGGAAACTGGAAGCATCCTCCCACCCCCATCCTGTCCTGAGTCCTGGAGTTTTGTAAGCCATTACCTTGCACCTATGGGGATGGCAGTTCTCAGCCACAACAGGTGTTCAGTGACTTACTCCCTCTGTTTCTTTTTGGCTTTGTGTTGTAATGGAATCTCTCAGGTTCAGGTTCTAAAATGATCAAGAATGTGCTCTTATTTCAGAGAAGAAAAGCCCTGGCTCTCAACATTTGAGCACTGGAACCACAAATAAAAAGACTCTGGGGTCCTCATCACCGTCACCCCTCTGGGCAGGAGGCCCCTGACTCAGTTCCGTACCCTGGGGTCATTTCTCTTTTCCAGCTCCCCGGTGGAGGCGGAAGTGGCCTTGTTGCCTAGGGGAAGCAAGGAGCAGCCCTTCCTCCCTCCTGTCCTCACTGAAGGAAGTCATGGTTAGGATTCTGCTGCTGAAGCTGAAGGAGAGGGAATTGTGTGGACGTTCTGAGCAAGCCAGCAGGAGGTTGCCAGGATAGGGAACATCTGGGACCTGGCTGCCTTTTGGGGTTCATTCTTAAGTTCTGCATCACTGGAAGTAGGCCGAGAGCAAGGGCTACCCATCTCAACTGCATCCGATTTCCAGCCTTCTTATTAAAACCTATAGGTCTATAATGGGTGTCGGATTTCTTTGTCGGGTAATGATAATGTTCTAAAATTGGTCATGGTGCTGGTTACACAAGTCTCTGAATAATATTAAAAGCCACAGAATTGTACAGTTTAAATGGGTAAATTGTATAGTATGCGTCTTAGGGTGGTCAGGTTGCTATACCAAAATACTATAATCTGGGTGGCTTATAAAGAACAGAAATCTATTTCCCACAGTTCTGGAGGCTGGGAAGTTCGAGATCAAGATGACAGCAGATTTAGTGTCCATCAAGATCCCACTTCCTGATTCATAGATGGTGCCTTCTCACTGTGTCCTCTTGAGGCTCAGAGGGACAAGCTAGCTTTCTAGAGTCTCTTTTATAAGGGCACGCTTCCTGTTCAGGAAGGCTCCACCCTTATGACCTAATCATCTCCCAAAAGCCCCACCTCTTAATACCATCACCTTGGAAGTTAGGATTTTAATATGAATTTTGAGGGGACACAAACGTTCAGCCTTTAGTGGCATGTGAATTATATCTCAATAAAGCTCTTAAAAAAACACACACACAATAGGGGCACCTGGGTGGCTCAGTGGGTTAAAGCCTCTGCCTTCGGCTCAGGTCATGATCTCAGGGTCCTGGGGTCGAGCCCCGCATCAGGCTCTCTGCTCAGCGGGGAGCCTGCTTCTCCCTCTCTCTCTGACTGCCTCTCTGCCTACTTGTGATCTCTGTTTGTCAAATAAATAAATAAAATCTTAAAAAAAAAAAACAAAACCACAGTAGGGGCACCTGGGTGGTCCAGTGGGTTGAGCGTCTGACTCTTGGTTTTGGCTCAGGTCATGATCTCAGGGTTCTGGGATCCAGCACCATGTCAGTCTCCCCACTCATTGTGGAATCTGATTGTCCCTCTCCCTCCCCCTCTGCTCCTCCCTTCACTCTCTCTCTCTTTCTGTCTCTCAAATAAATAGAATCTTTAAAGAGTAATAGAAAAAGAAAATAAAAAACACAATAAAAAACTAAGTATCTATTAGAATGGTTAAAACGAAGCCTGTAGCTGTCTACAGCAGTATCAGTCGTAAAAAGAAAAACCAGAAGCACCTTAAACGTTTAAAAACAGGGAAGTGGTTAAACAGACCACAAAACAGTAAATACGTTGCCATTAAAACTGATCACAATGAGGGGCACCTGGGTGGCTCAGTGGGTTGACTCTTGGTTTTGGCTCAGGTCATGATCTTGGGGTCATGGGATCCAGCTCTGCACTCAGCATGAAGTCAGCCAGTCTCTCTCCCTCCGTCCTCCCACCCCCTCACACATGCATACTCTCTCTCTAAAATAAATTGATAAATAAAATGTGAAAAAAAAAATACAATATCGTGATGAAGACTGTGAGCCAGCAGGAAAGGCTTATAATTTGAAAATAAAGGGAAAGCTCTTCCTTCTCTTGTTCTCCCTTTACTTCTAGAATAATCCAGTCCCAAAGGTGAGGCAGGACAAGTTAGGCAACGTGCCCGTGGAGGTGGGAGGTAGTCACAGAGAAGGCTGTTAGAGCCCAGGAGGTGTAGGAAGGGCCCAGAGTGAAGGGTCAGAGACTGAGTAGAAGGTATCCTTGAGGGGAGGGTGGCGCTGAGATGGGAGGTTAGTTACAAGGCGAGTGATCAAATAAATTCAATGAGAGCCAGATTTAAGAGAAGGGGCTTGGAGGGTGCCTGGGTGGTTCAGTTGGTTAAGCTTGTAACTCTTGATTTTTGTCTCAGGTCATGATCTCAGGGTCAAAGGATCGAGCCCTGAGTGGGGTGCTATGCTCAGCACAAAGTCTGTTTGTCCCTCTCCCTCTGCTCCTCTACCCACCCCCCACTCTCTAAAATATATAAATAAAGGGGTTTTTTTTAAGATTTTATTTATTTATTTGACAGACAGAGATCACAAGTAGGCAGAGAGGCAGGCGGGGGCGGGGGGGAGGAAGCAGGCCCCCCGCTGAGCAGAGAGCCCTGTGCGGGGCTCCATCCCAGGACCCTGAGATCATGACCTGAGCCGAAGGCAGAGGCTTAACCCACTGAGCCCCCCAGGTGCCCAGGTTTTTAAAAATCTTAAAAAAGAGAGAAAGAGAGAGAGAGGCCTTAGAGAGGCTACCCATGAGTAGCAATGAACACACCTACTGACTGGATCTCAGTTTCTAAATACCATTTGTAACTAGGGCTCCTTGGAGAAATAGCTGATCCCAAGGTTGGGCACAGGATGAACATGGAACATCTTGTTATTCCAGAAAGTAAGAAAGTGCTCAAAGAATGATGGAACCATGTCAATAGGACATGAAAGCCAGCTTGAAGAGATCCCCAATGACCAAAATGGGGACAATTTGTTCATCAAAATAATAAACGATTGTAATATGTAGTATTTACATAATTACAAAGGTGAAAAGAGGAACTTTAAAGTGGGAGAAAAGCTAGCCATGGTGCCTGAATGGTACCCCCCACAAAAATACATTGTTATCTTAGTCCCCAGAACCTGGGAATACTACCTTCCATGGAAAAACAGTCTTCGCAGATGTAACTAAGTTAAGGATTTGGGATGAGGAGGTCATCCAGGATTATCCAGATGGTCATGAGATTCAATGACAAGTGTCTTTATAAGAGGCACACAAAGGAGAAGGTGATGTGAAGATGGAGGCAGAGATTGAAGTGATGTGGCCACAAGCCAAGGAATGTCCAACAGCTGCTGGAAGCTGGAAGAGGCAAGGAACAGATACTTCCCTAGAGCATTGGGAGGGAATGCAGCTCTGCCAACATGAAGAACTGTTCAGAATAACCAGAGGGGCACCTGGCTGGCTCCACCAGGGGAGCAAGCAACTCTTGATCTCAGGCTTCTGAGATGGAGCCCCACATTGGTTGTAGAGATTACTTAAAAATAAAACCTTAAAAAGAAGAACAATGTTTGTAAGGCCTCCATGAAAGGTGCTGGGCGTCCCATCCGCATGGGGAGCCCTGAGGAGGGAGAGGAAAGGGAAGCATTCAAGGTCTCCTGAGCATGGGTGGCTGGTGGCTGAGCTTCAAGGCTCAGTCAAGGGCGACGGGGACCTGGTCTGAAACAGTATGGGGAAGGACTGGAGTTTGACTCCAGGAAAACCTCCAAAAGCCTCCAGACTGTGTGTGGAGGGACCTGATGGCCCCTCAGAGGGGAAGAGAGGGGGCCTGGAGCCTCTCGGCCATCACTGATCTTTGTCGAAAGGCCCTGGAGGACAGACACCACAGTGGCTCTAGCCCAGGCCGGGCAGAGCTCCGGGCATGGTCACGGCTGCTCCAGCCTTACATCCTCATCTGGGCCTGCTGGGCTGAGCAGGGCCCCTGGAGCCAGTCCCAATCTGTTTCCTTCTATTCTTTGACAGGAAGCTCCTGGAGAGCCAGCCCCCACCCGACACCCCGCCCCAGCACTCCCTCTCTCTTCTCCACTATGGACAGAGCCAGCGTGGAGCGGCTGCCTGCCCGCCACAGACCCCGCTGACATGGGCACGGTCAGAGCCACACAGCTGTGCTGGGCCATCCTCGGCGTCCTCCTAATCCAAGGTAAGAGGCACTTGCCCCTCCGCTCCAGCAGCTCCTCTCCCGCCACTGGCAGTCCCGGGTGCCAGTCCATCCTTCACCACAGACAGACCGAGGCACATGCTCTCCATCCAGGCCCATGCCCAAGGGAAATTCCAGAGCTTTCTCATGAAGGGAACCAGTTGAATTGGGGCGGGGGGGTCAGTACCGAGTGAACGCAAAGTTGAGGTGTCGTGAAACCCTTTTGTGAGAAAATTTCCAGGATGAACTGGGGCACCCACAGAGGCTGGTCTCCTGAAATGTGGGGAAGCGACTCTCTTGGTGTGAGACTGAGGCCAGAAAGCTCCTTCCAGGGTGTTCTAGCATACAGTTGTCTGCGCTTCAGGCTTTACAGGTGATCCTTACTCTTTTTTCATATGAGGAGTAACAACATGGGCATTCCAAATGTTGACTTGAAGCTCAAATCACAGCAAGAGGGACTCAGGTTAGATACAAAGAACTATTTACCAGAGAGGATATACACAGCATCGTCACCCAGTGGGGGGCTGGGTGAGAAGATAGCCAGAGGAGATGACTGGAAACAACACCTCTGACACTGCCTTCTGCTAGCCCATGAGGGGTGAAGCAGCTCACAAGGGGTCCCCTAATTAGGGAGCAGTTGCTGGGAACCATGAGAAATCCAGGAGATTCTGACTCACAGGGTAGCGACTTCCCTTTGGTCATCCCTTCCCCACCCCCACCTCACTCTCCAGCCGTCCTCTGTTGTGGACTTATGAGCCTGCTCTCAGAGCAGCAGAAAAAAGTGCAAAAAAGTACAAAGTGCTTGGACGGGGAGAGAGGATGGCTCTCCCCTGGTAGGGGGTGGGAAGCCTGAGTTCCAGTACTCCCTCCCCGAAGAGGTCAGATTTTTCTCTAGAAGCCCATGGGCTCGGAGTAAGACTCTGATTGCTCCCCCACCCCCAGCCCCACACCCCCAGAGGACAGAGTCACACATTTGGTCTGGGGCTGCAGGACTAAACTCTTGTAGAAACCACAGAAGTGGCAGAGGAGGAGATTAAATGGCAAGACTCGTGTGGGGGCAGTGTCCCAGGAAGTGGGACGGCTCGAAACATCCTGTGTAAACTCTACATAAGCCATGCTCGCCCCTTGAATTTCCTCATCTCTCATCTCGAAATCTCAGTACACTTACTATCCCCCTTGAGGGAACCATTGGGAGGCTAATCAGGCCCACAAGGTGACTTGACGTGGATACACAGAGACTTGGAGGATTGGAAGGAACAGTGCAAAACTGAAAATGTCTAGTATTTATTGAGCATGGACTGTCTGTCAGGCACTGGGTTAAGTGCTTTAGATGAATTTTCTTATCCTCACAATCACTTATGAGGTATGAAAGTCATTTGAGTTTTAAAGAAGAGAAAACAGGCCTAGGTCGGAGAGGAAGTGGTGGAGTCTGGGCTTGAACTCACACCTGTCAGACTCCAAAAGCTGTGATTTTTTAACTATTAAATTATGCTGCTGAAGAAAATAAGGGACAGGGGTGGTGGAGAGGGAGAAGGGAAAGGCTGGAAGGTCATGAAGCAGGTAGGGATTAGAGAGAAGAGATGGGAAAATCAGAAATCTCTGCAGCCCTCAGTTCTTGGGCTGTCTGTATGCCCAGTGGTCAGAGGCACCCTGGCCTGCAGAAACAGGTGTTCCTTAAGTCCCTCCTCTACTCACAGAGGAATCCACTGGTGACAGAAAGTGCTGGTAGGGAGACAGGGCCAGAAGACAGAGATCAGGGTACTTGAACTTGGAGTCTGTGACTCTGGAACTCCTTCCAAGCCCCTAGTTTTGTTCCCACATCTGCGGGAAGGCACTGTACTGTGGCCACACACTAAAAACTAACGTTACGACATGACAGAGCTCAGACAGAACCTAAAACACACTGGATCAGTAGCTGACGGCTGTTTTCAGGATGTGCCTTGAAAGGTGTTCTTCCAGGGTCATTTTCAGCTGGTAGAGTTCTCTCCAGCCTCAGGCACCTAGGAGTGTTAATACCCCTCCTATGCCCACCCAAAGAGGGAGGGTACTACCAGAGACTGGTGACCTGGAAAAACACAGCCAGGCTTTAGGCAAGCTTGGGCTTGGAAACCATTAAATCCCCACTGTCCAAGTGATAGCCCCACGGAGGAAGGCAGTGGCTAAGGAAAATAAACAGACCGGCAGGCTGCCACAGGCTGGGAGGGCCCTGGCTGGCAGCTGCCTCCGCTCACCCCGCCCCAGGCTTGGGACTTCCCTGCGGACAGGGGGCCTGGGAGCCCAAGGGCCAGGCCAGAGGCTGCGGTCCCTGCCGAGGCAGAGAGACGGGAACCAGGCTGGGCGGGTCCACTTCCCCATGTTGTTTTCATTTCACATTGTTCACAGGTTTCAAGAATGATTTCATTGTGGAAAATGAGCAAACACAACCTGACCTTTCAGGTCCCACACACACAGGGGCCGCACACAGGGGCACAAAAACACACATACACAGCGGCACAGAGGCCTGCAGGCATACACGTGTACAAACCGAAAAGCCAGTGAGGGCTTCTGACTGGGGCCTCCTGGTAACTGGCTCCTCCCTGGCTTTGGACAACAATGGCCGTTTCTGAAGTAGCCTCTGCCTGTGAAGGTAAAATTGGCCCCGTGTTCTAGAGCTTCCCTGGCCTTTATATATACCTCAGAATTCACTTCTTGTGTGTGCTCTTCCTTCCTACTGGAGTACGGGGCAGAGAGACAGCCCAGATACCAACCCCAGTCCCTAACCTCATTTTATTCACCACATTATTCTTTCCATCCCCTTCCCTTGGGGGCAGGACCAAGATGACAATATTCACAGGGAGAAATGGATGGCTCAATGGTAGGAAAGCAAGAATCTGGAGTCCTAGGTCCTTATCCAGACATCAAAGGTCACTGGCCCTCTGTTCTTGGACAAATCACTGGTTTGAAATAACGTTCCCCTGACCTCCTATCAGCTTGGCTTAGAACCCACGTGGCATTAAAGAGACAGAAAAGGATTCTGGGACACTGAACTTGAGGTGGGGGTGATGGTACTATTGAGTTATGGTTTCAGAGGAAGCTAGGCCTGTGAACCAGAGCCACGTCCTCCAGCCCTCTGCCAAGTGTGCCTGCCTTCCAACATGGAAGGCTTGGAAAGATTGGGTTCTCCTGTGGGCTTGGAGCTGGGCAAGAGTCTCGCCAAACTAGTCAAAGTGTTCTGCTCTCTCTTGCAAGCCACCACTCCCAGCCCAGGGCAATCTCAGGGTAAGACCAAACACACGGAACCTACTCTAGCATTGAGGCCTGGCCACTTAGGGCAAGAGGAGCACGGATCTCAGGTGACTGGGGGTGGGGCCCAAGCTCTTAGGACATCAAAGGCTGAGCTCCTCTGGGGACTATTTCAGCTTGACCTAGGCTAATGTGCCTCAAAAGAGGAGACGGATGAATGGTTGGAGGTTGGGGGGTGGGGCAGGGAGAAAGATTAGAAAACTCCATCTATGTGGAAGACAGGGAGACGGAGTAATAGCCTCAGATGATTTGTTTCAGGAAACTTTAGCAGCCCAAGTCGGACCACAGAGCCTCTTTTTTCCAACATAGGTGAGTGAGTGTGGCTGCAGAAGGGCTGCTCCCTGCCCCAGCCCAGCCCCCTGCCCAACCCCCCACCCAGCCCTTTGGATCTGCTTGGAGCCCAAGGGTTCTCAGCTGGGTAAGGGAGTGTGGTGTCACCCAATTTGCCCCCTCTAATCTCCCACTGCCTCTGTCCTTGCAGGAATGAGCCTTTCCTCAGATCCCAGCAGCCCAAGCTCTCTGGCCAGCACGAGGACCCAAGGTACTCTGAGGCTCAGATCCAGATGCCTTCTGGGGAGGGCCCAGTGAGGAAGCAGACACAGTTGCTGCCCTACAGGAGAATACAGACTGGTGGGGAGCAGACAAGTAAACAGGACCTCATGTGGCCAGCTACAAAGCAGGGGGAAAGGGCTGTGATGACCACAGCAGAACATGCTGCAAGGGCCGAGACAGACTTGGACGTAGGCCACTTCTGACTCAGGGGCCAGGTGAGACATGCTAGAGTGAGTGACCTTGGAAGTGGAGGTCCAAGATGGAGTTAAGCAGATGAGGACTGTGGGGTGGAGGGTGGTAGGGTAGATTTCAGGCAGACAGAACCCTATAGGTAAAGGCCCAAAGTTAAAAAGAGAGGATGGCTTCTTCTGGAATTGAAAGCAGTAAAGAAAAGGAAGGTTTGGGTCTGAAGAGGGACCCTTGTACACACTGGCTGAGGCCTGAGCAGGCCCACCCATGCTTCCTACTCCACAGCACCTCAGGACAAGGCCTCACAGGTCCTCATGGTGACCAGTAAACCTGTGACACCAAGCACCATGGACAGTCAGTCCCAGGCACAGACGTCCACAGCAGGACTTGGTGAGTACCTGGGGCTGAGGGTCAGGAGCACTGGGTCATGTCTGGTTGGGGTCCTTCTCCACCTCTTCAGGATGCCCAGGTTCTGCCCCACAAGGAGGCCTCGCAGGGCCGGGAGCCACATTAGTGGCAGCTTGGTTTGGGGATGAGAGAGGTTTGGTGGGAAGTAGAGACACAGCCTTGGGCCTGGTCACAATGAAGGCAAAAGGAGCCTGGACTCAGGACTGATGAAGGCATGGAGGGAAAAGGGAGAGGTAGAACCCAAAATGATGAAAAGGGAGGCAAAAGGCCTTCGGCCAGGGCTCCATGCTCTTCTGGGCAGGCTAACCTCATACGCCAGTGTGGGGCAAGAGCTGGGAGGGGACAGACACCTCCGTTGTGGCCCTACTGTCCTATCTGTGTTCTCAATGAAGAGCACCCTGACCCTTTCTTTCATCCTACCCCTTGGCTCTGGGATTTTTTTTATACTCACAGACTTATTTGGCAGTGCAGGGATGGATAAGGAAATGGACAGCGATCAGACCAGCAGTACAATGAGTGGAAGAGGGGGCACCTGGCTGACTCAGCTGCTGGAGCTGCAACTCTTGATCTCAGGGCTACAAGTTCAAGCTCCATGTTGGGTGTAGAGATTACTTTAAAATAAAAGCTTTAAAAAAAAAGAGTCAAAGGGGAGAAGAGATGGGTGATCATACTACTTTTTTAAAAAGATTTTATTTATGTATCTGACAGAGAGAGAGACAGAGAGACACAGTAAGAGAGGTAACACAAGCAGGGGAGTGGGAGAGGGAGAAGTAGGCTTCCCACCGAGCAGGGAGCCCAATGTGGGGCTCAATCCTAGGAACCCAGGATCATGACCTGAGCTGAAGGCAGATGCTTAACAACTGAGCCACTCAGGTGCCCTGATCGTACTATTTTTTAAGAGGACCGGAAACTTGTGCCCCTTAACCAGCAGCCTGCCTTATTAAATGAGTGCCTGGGGATAAACCTCCAGTGCGCTTTTTTTCCTCTTGCTTCAACCTTTGGCAAGATACAGAGGGCTCTACCTTGCCCGGTCTGGCTCCCTATCTGTGGAGCACAAATGGGTCCCAAGAGGATGGTGGGAAGAGAGTAACAGGGGAGGCATCCTGAACTTTTTGGAGTCCCCTGCAGCTAGTAATATGAGCAACCAGCAGAGCAATCACCTGATCCCATGTTACGTCACCCAGTCTGACCCCCATAATCACGAGATCTGGTGTGAGTGGCAGGAGGAAGTCTTTTTTATAGGGCATGGGCTCCTTCTGAGTTCTTTACCTGGGAAAGTGGGAGGGGAGCTAGCTCTCTCCTCTGGCAGGCCATCCCAGTCCCATCACTAATGCACCCATCCCCATTCCATTTCAGACACTTCTCAAAATACTACTCCCATATCAACCACTATGAGCCTGAGGACCAAAGAAGACTTGTCTGTCCTGCCCAGTCCCACATCAGAGACGGTGCTCACTGTGGCTGCATTTGGTAAGAGAGACAAGGTGGGGAGAGTGGCAGGAGACCCCATCCCTGAACTAACTTGGACTCTGGGTCTGGAAACACAAGTGTAAATCCCACCTATTTGTTCTAGGAGGGCATGGCTGATGAAGGAGGCCCTGGTAGGAAGGAGCCTCCATGGGCCCTCCAGTCAGCAATTCTGGGCTCTGCTGGGTTCCATGCTCTTGTTGGGAGGTGAGGCAGCTGTGGAGCTTACTCTGGCCAGGGGTAGTGGGCTGAGAGCTCATTTATTCTTCAGAGAAGGGGAATTCACTTTGCTTTCAGAGCCTATCTACAGAGCACTTAGCTGGGAAGGGAATTTGGACTCCTGTTGCCCCCTTTTGACCCTTCCTTTGCTTCTCCTTTACCCTGACCTTTTCCCTGCTCAGGTGTTATCAGCTTCATTGTCATCCTGGTGGTTGTGGTGATCGTCTTAGTCAGTGTGGTCAGTCTAAGGTTTAAGTGTCGGAAGAACAAAGAGTCTGAAGGTACATCCTTGCCACTCAGGGCCCCCTTTGCCCCTCTTTAAAGACTAAGAGCTGCATTTTGGGACTGGAGTGTAGGAAAAGCATGGCACATAAGCGCCACTGATGAGATGGGAGGGTAGTCCACTTGGGTGGGCTTTGAGGGACAGGCTGGTCTTCTGAGTTATAGCATGTGACCCCCAATCTGTGCCTTTGACTATTTTACAGATCCCCAGAAGCCTGGGAGTTCGGGGCTATCTGAAAGGTAAGACTGTCAGAGGTATAAGGGAGGAATCATCTATCTGACCTCTCAGTCCACCACTCCAAGAGAGAACTGAAACTTCCTGGGGTGCCTGGGTGATTCAGGCCTTTGGGCATCCAGCTCTGGATTTCAGCTCAGGTCATGGTCATGAGATCAAGCCCAGTGTCAGGCTCTGCATTCAGTGTGGAGCTGGCTTGAGATTGTCTCTGTCTCCCTCTCTCTCTGCCCCTCCCCCTGCTCTCTCTCTCTCTCTCTCTCTCTTGATCTAACATAAATAAATGAAATCTTTAAAAAAAAAAAAAGAAAGAAAAAGAACTGATACTTCCTGCCTTCTACATGGATGTTCACACAAGCATGCATGGAATATTGACAGCCACCACTGAGACCAAGGCAAGGGATGGGCAGGACAGGAGTGACGCTAAAATGAAACAATCAGGAGACAGGAGATGAACTGGAACTCTTCAGCCTAAGGGCTAAGCCTCTATAACCCCCTCATGAAAAGTGTAGGAGTTCAGATTCTAATACAATTCAGATTATTTTATAGATAGATAGATAGATAGATTCTATATAGATAGATTCTATATCTATATATAACTATATATATAGAATACATATATTCTAATATGTAATTCAGATTCTAATAATCTTTTTTTTAAAGATTTTATTGATTAATTTTAAAGAAAGAAAGAGAGGAGGGGATAAGGGCAGAGGAAGGGGGAGAGAGAAACATAAGCAGACTCTGCACTAAGCGCAGAGCCCAACGTGGGGCCGAATCTCGTGACCCTGAGATCACGACCTGAGCTGAAACCAAGAGTCAGATGCTTAACCGACCGAGCCACGCAGGTGCCTCTCTAGATACCCCTTTAAATAAGAAAACACTTATTTAGGAACATCTTGTACATGCCAGGCACTATGGTAGATATTTTCTAATATTATCTCAAATTCTTACATCAATTCTTCAAGGCAGATATATTGCATTCTGTTCATTTGAAAAAATTGAGACTTGGAGACGTTGTAACTTGGTCAAGATCACATGAGTAGCAAGTAGTGAAACTAAGATTTAGATAAAAGATTTTTGGGCTTCCAAGCACATGCCCATTTCATTAGGGCCCATCACCAAAATACAGGTTTATCGAAACAAAGGTCGAAGTTCCAACACGTGACCCCACAGCTCCCTGACCACCCCAGTGCACTCCTCCATGTTACAACCCATGTTCCTTTCCTACCCCTAGCTGCTCCACAGCCAATGGAGAGAAAGACAGCATCACCCTGATCTCCATGAAGAATATCAACATGAATAACAGCAAAGGATACCCCACAGCAGAGAAGGTACATTTTTCCTGGTTCCTTCCTCCCTTCTCTCTCCTTCTCTTACCTTCAGGTTCTAGTTCCTTAACCAGAAAGGAGATATGTTCAAAGACGCAGGCTCTGCTCTCCTCTTTCCTAGCCCACCACTCCTGAGAAGTTCACGCTTTCTCACGATGTATTTATTTTGCAGGTTCTTTAGAAGAAATGTCGGGTCCCCATGGGTCCAAGGACGATGAAGCTGCCCCATGACTATAAAGAGGAAGGCAATGGGAGTGCTAGAGGCATGAATCACATATAAATTATTTTATTATTTCACACTTACTCCAAGATCTAAAGGACACCAGCACTCCTCCAGACCTAGGAGTAAGCTGCCAGGATGAGAGACTCTTTCCCATATGGGCAGCCACTCTGGAAATACAGCCTGCTCCTCCCACCCACTCACCGTCAAAGGAAGGGGGAGTCTGGAGGGCAAGGGCAAGGAAAATGACAAAGTGGAGTGGCCCTTGCTACTTTGCATTAAAATTATTTTCTGGCCAACAGTCTAATTTCTATTAAGGTCTGTGCTCTCGTGCAGGTTTATTAATGGTGCTCTAGCAGCTGTGATATCTCCTTTCCTGGGCAAGCACAGATCCAAGCTTCTGCCCCTGTAGAGAGCTCTCTGAGCAACCTGCGAGGTAGACTGAACATTCTGTCAGGTCTGCCCCAGTTCCTCTGGATCATTAAGGAGGAATGAGGTCCTGAGGGACTAATTACTTCAAGAGAGGAGAGAGAAAGGGAGCTGTAAACTCTCTAGGTGCACACACCTAGAGAACCTAGAGAATGAGAACAGGAGAGGCACAATGCATTCTGACTAGGGAAGCCCAGTGGGGAGGGCAGATGTCCTCTGCCTGCCCCAGGGCAGACATGCCTCACTTTGGTCCTAGCTATGGGAATAACACTGGGGAGGTCTGGAACAGGGATAAGTCTGTGACTTCATAAGCCAAAACCCACCCCCTTTACCCTGTACAGCTATAATCTTTGTGTCCTAGAAAGCGAATAAAGGGTGACAAACCCTCTAAAGTCTTTTAAAGGGAAGGAGGAAAAGCAGTTACCCATTTTCTTAGAACTCTCCACCATGAAACTGGTTTGGAAATTAATTTTGGTTGGGGGACATTCAGTGGGAGAGTCACCTGCATGTGTCTACACAGAGGGGTTAACTTTATAAATACATGCTAGTTGGCAGTCCAGATTACAAGATTACCCATTCTGAACAATGTGCGACAATGCACCATTTGCTTCTGGATCTAGACGCTGTGAGGTGAGATGAGAGAGAAAGCCTGGAAAAAGAAAGCTTCACCCTCTCTGTTCTGTTGCAACTATTTAAGCAGACTGAAGAAACCTACTGGGTTCTAAAATCTTCTAGGACAAGGCTTGAAATCGAGTCACTTCTATAGCTCCAGTTTGGTACATGGTGCCCAGCCCATTGAAGGTTATAAAAACTGGCTCTCAAGGGCAGGAAATGTGGTCACAGGCTGAACTTTGCAGCTGGGCAAAATCACTCCCCAGCTCCCAGACTGTTTTCTTACTTTTAAAGCAAGGTGGCTGGACTACTTGGCTTTCATTACCTTTTCTGGTTCTTCTTTTTTTTATGATTTGATTTATTTATTTGAAAGAGAGGAGAGAATGAGAGAGAGAGTGCATGAGAGGGGGAAGGTGAGAGAGAGAGAGGCAGACCCCCTGCTGAGCAGGGGGCCCATGTGAGACTTGATCAAGGGACTCCAGGATCATGACCTGAGCTGAGGGCAGTTGCTCAACCAACTGAGCCACCCAGGCGCCCCTTTTCTGGTTCTTATATTCTGTAGTTCTATAAACTTTAGACGTAAGAAAAAATGAACACCATCTTTTGAGTAGAAATCACTCCGGGTGAAAGCCAGAGACAAGTCTTAGGTGAGTCTGACAAGCCTATATTCTCCAGACTTAAGATTTCCCTGTGTCTTTTTTTTTCTTTTTAAAATTTATTTGACAGAGATATAGAGGGCACAAGTAGGCAGAACGGCAGGCAGAGAGTGAGGGAGAGGGAGAAGCAGGCTTCCCACTGAGCAGGGAGCCTGATTCGGGGTTGGGTCCCAGGACCCTGGGGTCATGACTAGAGCTGAAGGCAGCCACTTAACTGACTGAGCAACCCAGGTGCCCAAGATTTCCCTGTGTCTTAAGGGAAGAATGACCCTTATCTGACCCTTGGTAGGTACTTGGTAGGTAAAGTGGAAGAGCAAATGTGGAGACACGTGGGAAGCAGAAGTACTAGTTGGCAATCGCAGCAGACAATGTGGAGTATCACCACCCAGGTCCCACTTCAAGGTCAATGCAAGTGTCCTCAGCTGTTAAAGAGTGCTGGCTGCTAAAATTGAAAAAAAAAAAAAAAAGAGGAGCATTGGCTGCTGAGGGCTCACAGCTGCTTGATGACTGGTTGATGGGTGTGGGATAAAGACCTGGAACTCTTGCCTCGATTTTCCCAACTCTGTCCCATCCCACGTCCCTTACCCCTCACAGCTCTTGTTCCCAGGAGCATTCACCAATAAACCTTCAGCATGCAAATCTCCAAGTCTCAGAGTCTATTTCCAACCTATGACAGCAATGCTACAGCATTTTTTTTAAAATGCTATTTATTTATTTATTTATTTATTCGAGTGGGGTGGAGGGGCAGAGGGAAAGGGAGAAGCTGGATCCTAGGACCCCGGGATCATGACCTGAGTCAAAGGCAAATGCTTAACCGTCTGAGCCACCCAGGCGCCCCTAAAATACTACAACATTTTAAAAAATAACTCAGAAATATTTATTAAAGCCACACTGCAAAAAAATGCCTGACTTCCTAAGCAGTTCCGGCGCACACAAAAATCCATCATTGGGATAGAACTCTCCAGGTGACATAACAATGTCTACAAGCACTGGATTCTGTTTGAATTGTTCTTGTTATTCTGGCTGCTATGGGCACTTCAATCAGCTGCTAATCATACTGGACTAATTAGGTCAAGAACCTGAGGTTTGCTCTAGATAACCCAGTTGATATCTCCATTCTAAGGCCACAAGCATCCCCCTGACTCTGGACAATGTCCTGCAGATATGAGCTGTTAGTCATAAGGTATTTATATGTGGGGGAAAGGGTGTGAACTGGTATGACTATGAGGTTGGATGGCTTTTACCCAGAAACCGACATTGTAGTTCTTCAGTAGCAATGTTGATTTTCCTGTTGTTAAATAGCTCTCTTTTGAAAGGGGTCAAGGATGAATTCACTTAATTCTCTAGGAAACTGCATTATAAGGAGTTCTGCTAGAGGATCCTACTATTTATGCAAATACAAGAACCCACCTCTGATAGGAAATCCGAGTGCAGCCTTCTGCAGCCCTGGCAACTTCCCTGAGACAGTATCTCTTTTCCTTGATGTCTAGACAACAGGATGGTGGCCATTTACATGACAGCTTCCCCTTATTTTAACACAGGTGGTGGGGTGGAGTAGTTATTATAGAATGTCCTTCTTTTGCTTCTCCCCTCATCTTATGGGAGGCTAACCAACAACCCAGCTCAGGCACACAGGCCCAGTTGGACAGAAGGAACATTTACTGAGTACCTTTCTTCCAGGGATAGATGGGGCAACATCTCAATCATATGGGCACAAGGCAAACCTCAGGATCACTAGCAAAAATTCACTACAGTTCAACAAATATTTCTAAAAGTAGAGAAAACTGATGGAAATCTGAGGCCAGCTCTCAGTAAAATGGTTTAGTAGATGAAGGATCATTGCAGGCCCCTTGGCCTAGTACATGCACATCATTTCCTAAAGTCAGGCTAGTACTAATCAATTCTATTTGAATCTGTTGGAAAACATTGTGTGGCTCTGCTCAACAGTCTCCTTCTGAATTTGTAGATGTTCTTTATCACCTCTTTGAACTTCTTTCTACACCTACCTCCTTCTCCTTGAGATCCCAAGTTCTCTTCCCTTATTTCCTTCCCAGTTGCTTCCTGACCCCTCCTGCTGGTTATTTTCCCCGGGCACCTCCATCATGAACCTTCTGAGCCCACAGCTTCCTCTTTTACCAAACACAGAGACTGTGTTTCACAGTCGGGATTATTTTGTTGAGTGGTTGGTGTGCTTAACCCAAAACTGGCACAGAAGTGTTCTAAATGTTGAGGTTTGGAGTTCTAGGTTAGTCCTAGTGCTAGAGTCATAGAAACATTCATCTAGTAGTGTTAATTGAGGTGTAAATGAGCTAAAGATTACATTTGCAGGCATATCTGACAAGGTTGCCATGCTGAGCCATTTTTTACTGACCTAGGAGGAAATGAGTCTTCTAGAAAAAAAAGTGGAGAGTGAGGTTTCAGAGGACAATGGAAAAAGTTGTTGAGGTCCCAGACATTTCCAAAAGTCTGCAGCTTCCCAAATCTTGTTCAGCATTCTTGAACCTTGAATCTACTCCTAAGTACCCCCATAATTCATAGTAGCTCTTCTCAATCCAGTTTCTCCCTACAGTGCTCTAGCCCAGCCTCCCTGCCATTCTCAACCAGATAGTTCTCACTTCCCAGCCCTCTGACAGCTTTGAGCACCTCCAGACCTTAGCCCTGTGCCCCTAGACCCTAAGGCATACCTCACCTTCCCTTGTCCATATTTTAAAGCAGTCTGTCCAGTTTCCCAAAACCAAATAAACTTCCTTCTTATGTTTAATCACCTAATGTATATCCCTGATCAGGTCCCTTGTCTGCAAAGGACAGGTGGCTTCTTTAGGACCCATCCTTCTGTGAGCACACTGGCGCTCACATCCTAGGGCCTGACTGTAGGGTAGCACTGCTAGACTGGAAGATTCTACCCTATCAATTGTGTCTCTGGCTAATCATCTCCCAGTCCCACCCCCAAATGCCTAAGTAGCTGCTGCTTGGTTTCACAGTTGGCATACTGAGGTGGTCTTCCTGGGTAAGAGCTCAATGAATTCCAAGTAATTTTTTGTCTTGAAATGAATTGATCATTTCTCACTTTTGAAACCTGATCTTTAGCCATCCCAATTCACCCGCAGGCACAAGTCAGTAAGGACACCATGAGAATTGCTTTTTTTCTTTGTTAGGCTCCATGAAAACCTGAGTGGAAAAACGCAGGCATATTTTACTTCCCTTTTACTAATTTCATAGGGCCTTCAGAAAACAAGGGAATGGGTCATGGAAACGAGTGGAACAGAAAAGTCTCAGATGTGCCCTGAAGTGGGATGGGATGGATGAAGAATAAAGAACAGCAAAGATAGGGACTTTAATGCAGGCTCCAGCGCCTGCCCCTTTCTTCTTTATCTCTGAAGCCTTGAGGTCCCTCTAACGAAGCTGTGCCAGAGTAAATGCACGAAGAGGGCATACTCAGACTGACCTCTAACTACATAAATCTATCTCCTTTTTCTGTTTTCTTGGTTCTTAAAGTTTTGGTTCCCAAAACCCGTCTCTCAATCTCCAGGACCTAACATACGCTTTACACAGAACAGGCATTAGCTTATATTTTAAAAGGACACTCTTGAGATGAATAGTCA